TTTGACCATCGGGCAATACTATCAAGATCGGAGTTATCCTGGAAAGGGACAGTTTTAAATCCTGTGGACTCGTATGAATATAGATTTGGACATCATCCGCATAAAAATGGCACTTGCAGTATTTCACATTCTTTATGATATCCGCAGAGTACAAAACAAAAAGAATGGGTCCAAATATCGATCCTTGTGGCACGCCTCTATGCATATTCCTTACAGAAGATCTGGCGATATGGCCGTTCAACTCCTGAACTGTGACGATTTGAGTCCTAGCAGTCAAGTAACTACTGAATCATTTTGCTGTGGCTGTGTCAAAAACCATAGTATGTACGTTTGGCAAGCAGTAGCGGGATATTGATAGAGTCGAACGCTCGTGAAAAATCGAGTAAGTCAGTATAGTAAAATACTACTGTTGTATTTATTCTGCTTAAAGAATGCCAAATCGGGAAGTGGAACTGCGTCAATACAGGGAGGGTTACAAAATGTTTGTTTATTTCTTCAGGATTAGAAATTTGAGGTGGCAAAGTCTCATATCGTTTATTACAAGAAAGAACATCACTCTTTAAGTTTTTCCAGAGCCTCTTGGGGTCGTTGGAGCAGCTATTTATACGTTGGTTAAAATATGCACGTTTTTTAGAGAGCATAGCTATGTTAACTTGTTTTTTGAGGCTTTTATAATAATCCTTATGAGTGTCGAGTCGGGTGCGATGGAATCGGCAACGAGCTTTATTACACAGATTAATAATAAGTTTAGTATGAGGAGTTACCCGCGGAGTATTTATGTTTTAAAAGGATTGTTCGTAAGAATCGTAAAGTTGCAAAATTTTACTAGTGTAGGAGTCGACCATATCATCTACAGTGCATGACGAATTAATGTTTAGGAAGCCATAATTTAATAAATCTACGTTAAATTTATCCAAATTTATATCTTTTATAAGTCTATAAGTAATAAATTTAGGTTTAAATTTATCTTCCTTTATGTTAAGGGTTACGTTAACCATAGTGACCATAGTGAGCCCTGAAACACTATCCAAATCCACTTTTTTATCACACAGTCTGTGCATACTACATCGATCAATGTTGCAGAGTTTTCAGTATAATGTGTTGGTCCATCAACTACCTGCAACAATCCGCAACTTTGAGTAAAAGATTAAAATTTACGATAATTTAAACTATTACTATCCAATAGATTAATATTGAAATCCCCTAATGGTATGATTTTATCGAAATAATTAAAATAAGTTACTGATTCTGCAATAGCGTCAAACAAGTACACAGATTGCCATGGAGGGCGGTAGGCTGTGCCCACAGCCAAGCGAAAACCATTCACATTTACACGTAGCCAAAATTGTTCTACAGAAGAAGTAGGATGCTTTAAGACCGTAGCTTTAACATTTTCGTGTATGTAAAAGGCTACACTTTTCCACGTCCTTCTTTCACTTCACGCGGACGCGGACGCGGACGCATTTTAAACTTATACAAAGGAATAATAGGAGCCAATGCATCACATCCCTCCCTCAGACACGATTCATTTATGGCTACAACCAATGTCAGGGTTACGACTTTCCACCGCCACTACAAACTCATGACCACAAGTGTTAAGTGATTGGGCATTATACAGGCTAATTGTAAATTAGTTTTTTTTATGCAACACCATGTCGACATACTAAAATACTAGTAGAAAAATAAGTAATTAAATTATAGAAAGAGATTGATGTTAATGGTGTTGTATTACATAAGTATGACAATAATAAATTATTTAAAAAGATATGTGCGGTACGATGAGATAAGGCTAGTATAAAAAAAATATAAACTAAATAGTAAAACCTAAGACTTTCATAAATATTTTCCCGGTAATATTTATGATCTTTCCGCCTAGTTTTATAATTGCATTTTTTCACAGTAGCACCTTGTATTTCATAGACAACAAACATTTCGACATATTTATAAACAATATTTTTCAAATTTTCCATTACTACAAGAGAAGATGACATAACAATACAGAGTATTACACAATAGTACGGGAAAAAACACCGATATTTTATGAGGTTAGATAAGATAACTAATCTGTACTTACAATGAATAAACAAAAAAGATTTTGTTTTAGAGTCGAAATAAATCATCCTCTGACTGAATACGATAGACAGTGCCTCCATCAGTCTTTCGTAAAAAGATTTGGCCATTTTTTCGCCACATGTATTTATATTCACGCTCTCGCTCTACGCTTCTAGCCTTCCCGTGGAGTCGGCGATCAAATTTGATTAAATGTTCTTTTATATAGATAGCAGTAGGCGTATCGGGTAAGTCCATTTGATCAGTAGTCAGGTTGCGGCGGGTTCTTGCGGCGCGCGTCTTGTAAAGCGCACAATGATAGAGCAAGGTCGACTCGACGTATTGTTTTCATCCCTCGATCGTCGACCCGCTCTAGTCACGTAGTCCATGTCTTTGTTGTCCAGGTTAACGCGTAACTTTATTAACTAAATTTTCACCGTTATGTTCATTACCACCTGCTATTCCAATGTTGTTCAATACTTGCATTCGGTCTCGATGATTGAGCTGGGATCGCAAATCATTAATTTCCTCACGAAGCTCTGTGATCTCTGTCTCGTAGCTCTCGAAGCGTTGTATGTTTTTACGTCACCCTTTACGTCAGTAAATTCTGAGCGAAGTCCAGCCATTTCTTCACGGCACGCACCAATTGAATCAGAGCGAGCTTTTATGTTAGTTGTGAGTTCCATAAACATCTGCTGAAATTGAAGCATCATCTGACTGGGTACCAGAGCATCGGCATCAAAAGACTGCATCGCTGTGGGAGAGTCACGCTTAGGGTCGTTCAATACCTCATTAATTTTGAGGCTAGATACCGGTTCACCTTCCACAGATTTTTTATTTCTACACGCCATATTCACGTTAGACTGCGAGTCCTCTATGGTATTATTGTTACTAGATACAAGCGATTTTTCATGCTCGGGTTCAGGAAATCCACGTATAGGGATGTCTTCTCCACATCGCCTTGTAGCAAAATAGCTGCATGTAGGACAGTTGAAAGACTTTTGTACATGGGACAAGGACGTGTTGTAGGGGAGAATTGGCACACGTGGAATTGGGAGGGCTCTTCTGGGCGGTAATTCAATGTGTAGTGCACTTGTATTGCGGTCTGCCCTTGTAGTTAGAGTAATGGGGTCATTGGGTCATCATAAACTTTCCTGTTCCCATTATGTCGTGACGATAGTCGTGCAGTTTAAAGTGTCGTGTCTTGTATATTTAAATGAAATTGTTCACACATACTTTGTTGACTGCCTTCGTGGCCGAACGGGTACCATGCCCACATACCACTGCCATGCAGAGGTCCCAGGTTCGATTCCCGGCTCGGGAGAAATATTTGTATGGCCTACATTTATTTCTCTCGTGAGTTTGGGTGTAATTTGTGGTTGTCTATGTGTGTGTCCCGCGACACAGGGTTCCCTAGTGCAGGGCTATGTTGAGTGTGTGCATTATTAAAAAAAATCTGTAGAACTGTAGAACAATAGAACATAGAACAACACGATTAACTGTAGTTCACGACTTTTTTGACGTAACGACGACAGACTCACGTGACTATAGGAATAGCTAGAACGACAGTCGTCAGATGATAAATAAAACGTCTCAATAATAATGTGACGATAGATAATCGCAGCTTCAAACGATTCTGTCGTGCAAACGACAAGACGGCTGCCGTGAACCGATAAATTGTCGTCACGATAATGGGAACAGCTAGACACGACAGATAGTCGTGATATGGGAACAGGTTAGACGCGACAGTCGTCCAACGATAAATAAAACGTTAAGACATAATGGGAATGCGCCATAAGGATGATTCCTGAGTGGAACATAGTTGGCGGAAGCTACCACGAGTGGGTTAATTTTAACCCACTCGTGGTCGGCAACAGAGTCGAAGTAGATTGCGACGCCTGGTTTGGGAAATCAGAAATCTGTGTGGAAGTGTATACTAGATAACCAGATACGTATGTATATGTCGCCACCAGGGTTCTAGGAACCGAAGTTCTCTCAATTGAGAAACAACCGTTTTCATATTGTACTAATACCGTGTGCTATGTTACCTAAAATAAGTTGTACTCATACAATATTTGTCATGTTCCAGACCTTCTACCAGCACGTGTTCAACGGCTGCTACGCCGTGCTGCTCTTCATCGTGGTCATTTTCTTTCTCATCTATGGAGTCGAAGTCTACTTCAAGGTAAGGTATAATGCTTGTCATGGCGGTGAAAGGATTTGCCAATCAGCGTGCGATGCTCGCTAATTGTTGCCAAGGGTGCGCCAGACTTACAGGAAAAGAATTACCTATACTTTTGTGGTCTATGTGAGGCCCAAAATAAGAACCTGATGTCAATATATGATCAAATTTAGAACCAGATACCGAACCACGTTTGTTCTCCAGATCTGACTGTTCATTTTTCTTAAGTAATTTTTCGAAACGAAATCGTTATATTCACCTTAGAAAGGCTAGCTCCGTAGACTCTACTGACGTCTTCCATCTCTAGAAGTTACACTTTACAATTTTACCGGCCTTTATTTCATTCTTATATGTTTCGTTATCAAAAGAGTTTTTTATGAACTCGTGCTAGTTTGGTAGGTATGCCATGAAAAAACAATTAATTGGGAAAATCATTGCATGCTTTGTTTTACAGCTACAACGATAACGCAATTTTATCGTCCCTATATTTCATTTGCAATTTCCGAGATTTGAAGATTTTTCGAGAAGTTTGAAAATTTATAGTGAAATTTCATGTTCTGCTATTGTTCTGGAATATTCCCATATGCAAGTTTTTTTTATGTTTGTTTCCTTCAGCGATATAATATTAGAGACTATTTTTTTATTATTAAGCCGTGACCTTAAGACTTGTGAAGAGCCAAAACGTTGGTTTGTTTGAAAAAATAAATATACGCTATTTAAATCCGAAAAAAAAGTTTCATTTCCAATGTATCGCCATCGCGAAAGCCTTAAATCTCTACATAATCATTTTTATTGGAGATTCAACTTTTAGTGGGTTTTTTAAAGTTGAAAATTTGGTTTATTCCCATGTACTCAGTTCTACAAGGAACTTTCCTTAACTTCCGAAATAGTAGATACTCGACAATTAAGCTAAATTGGAGAAATTTTGAAGAAACTTGGTTATGATTTTTTTCGTTCTGTTGATCCCAATTTATTTACCAAAAAGGACTCAAAAGTCCTTGACATTGCCGTCTTATTTTTTAAATTTAGTTCTACTGATCGAGTTCATAATCAACAGCACGATATCTCGAAGTTGTAATTCAGCCCACGAGAGGCGACTGAAAAGTAATCTACCTAAGTATGAAATAAAAATAATAGACGTCCATTTTAAAATATATTTATGCACTTATTATATTTGTTACAAGCAACGTTAAGCGGGACATTAAACGTTAGAAAGAATCTAAAAAAAAAAAGAAGTTGTTGCCATTTTTCAACATTTTTTTTTCCTCCGCCATTTTGTCCATGCAAAGCGAAACGTAATATACAAAGTGTCACTAATTTTCAAAAAAGAAGTCAAGAAATGCGTCACGATAGCGGCCAGTATTATTTTTGAATTTTAAACAAATAGTCAAAAGACATTACTTTTCAGCCACCCCTCGTTACCATATTAGTTAGTTTCTATTGTAAACGATTTTTTAATAATAAACAAATGTAAATGTTGTCACCAGCTGCGCGGAGAATTTTTGAAGGAGACCAAAGTGTGCACGATCATATCACCGCGTCCCGGCACATCTTCGGCTGCAGATGGCGACGACATTCAGGATACTTTGGTCACTAAGCAGGTACGTTGTGTAATTTACTCTTTAACTCTTCCCTCCCCCACACACAAAAGACGCTCGCAACCGCGCACTAAAGATCTACTTTTATAACTATATTAGTTTATTTTTTTTTCTATTTTTTAAATACTTATACAGTTTTTAATTTCTAAAAACTGTATAAGTATTTAAAATATTTACGGGTATGAAAATGTAATATGGAAGAGCGGGGTTTCTAACACGGGATCTAAATGTTTACTCACAAGTAGACCCAACACTGGATACTGTATGATTTTATCAAGTAAATAAATGCTATTTTTTCTTCTGGAGCTTCACGCAGAATAGAATTATTTAAAATTTACGTTAAATGAGTTCTCTAACTCATCATAGTGTACCTTTGATGTACTTTTCCGGGTTTGTAACCTAATCGTTGCCTTGTGAGGGCGCGTTCCCATTATGTCATAACGTTTTATTTATCCTTAGACGACTGTCGCGTTTAGCCTGTCCCCATATCACGACTATCAGTCGTGACTGTGTCGTGGATGTTAATTTTATCGTTGAACGACTGTCGTGTCGTATCGTGACTGTAGCTGTTCCCACTAGATCGTGACGTCAATTTATCGGCATTACACGACATAATCGTTGGGAGCTGCGACTATCTGTCGTCACATTTTTATCGTAACGTTTATTTATCGTCTGACGACTGTCGTTCAAGCTGTTCCCATTGTCACGACAGTCTATCGTCGTAACGTCAAAAAAGTCGTGAACGACATTTAATCGTGTTGTACTATATGTGAACAAGTATTAAATGTACAAAAAAATTAAATTTACAAACCACCACACTTTAAACTGCAAAAATAAATAGTCGCATTTATTATTATTTAAACGCGCCCGTAGTCTTATATATCTGCTTATTGGATTCCACCATAAAAGAGTATGAAAAGTTCACTGTAATGAGTTACATAACTCCATTTTACGAAATTTCATATACTTGAAGAACTGAACTTTTTTAAACATGCTTTAGATTCCTCGCTGTATTTTGGTGAACGCACAAATGACTATTACGGTATTTCCACAATTCTCAGAAATCATTCTAATAGTAATGGACATCATAGATCATTCCCACAGTTATATTAAATATCTTTAATAGAAATTTACAAGAATTTAGCTGTTGTATAACAGTATATAATATTTCTCCTATATTTATACTAATTGTTTATTTATATCTCATATTTACTTGCCTGGTCCCTTTTTTCTGTCTCTCTCTTCCTAACCCCTTTTTCAAATTTCGTTTGGCTGAGACGCTAACCGCGAAAAACCAAGATGTAAAACTTATTTTAAAGTACCCACGGTAATAAACGCTTCCTTACTTGAACATTTGACATGTTGCAAATATAAACCTTTAGGGCATACAAACGGACTTGGCGAACGACCAGGGCACAGTGGATCCGCGCAGTGTGAACCAGTCCCAATTGCACCAGTCGCGCTTCGGACTGATCAGCCAGGCCTTGATGCTCATTCTCATCGCTGGTTTCCTCGCCAGTGAAACACTTAGCGAGTTCTGGAAGACCAAGTAAGTGGATACGTGATAAGCTCTTTGGAATTAGTGACAGACATAACATTTTAATACGAGGAATAAAAATAATGTAGCTGTGCTTGACAGTCGACTTTATAAAGTCAAGGTCAGACAAGTACGCTTCTATAATAAGATTGTGGGTGATATTCAAAATTTGCCTTTTGCGAAGTTTAAAAGTATAGTGAAACAAAAACTTTATCCTAAAGTTTTATAACATTCAGCTTCTGCGTACTGGATGACAAAATTCCTTGATAGTGACCGGTTTAGCTCTTGCAGGTATTCTCGATCTAAGATGTTTGAAATAAACGTAAATATGTTTACAAAGAGCAACTCCTACAATTTCTTGCTCATTCTTCGCAGGCGAGTCTGCCTTGCGAATGAGCAGTAGAGTTTAATCAATGGTAAATGTATTCAAATGTATGTTTACAAAGAGCAACTCCTACAGTTTCTTGCTCATTCTTCGCAGGCGAGTCTGCTTTGAGAATGACCAGTAGAGTTTAATCAATATGACGATTTCATGTGTAATTTCCTTACCTATGAAATAAAGATGATTTGACTTTGTCTTGGCTTTGAATTTGCTCAAATTTTAAGACGATCCATTGTATGCACGGCTTGGGATATCGGTATTTTCAGCCACGGTAACCGGTACTTGAGATGCTACTGGTATAAATTATGCCTGTGTTTTCAGGAACCGGCACCATCCTTGCTACGGTGCCTGTACTTGAGATGCACTTAATTCATAGCGTACACGCATAACTTTTAACCGACTTTAAAAAAAGGAGGTTCTCAATTCGACTATATTTTTTGTGTGTATGTTACGTGATTACTCCGACTCTTGCGAATATATTTCGAAGATTCTTTTTTTTTTGTTGTTGTTGGAAAGGGGTTACCATAGTGGTTGTCCCATTCAAATTTAAAGAAAATATTCCACCGCTAAGGTGGGATCAAATCAAATCTGGTTTATTGGAATCCCCACACTTTCCGTTAACTGACAACTGATTTCAATAAAACTTTACAAATAGATTTAAATCCACAAACTTTTGGAAGTCGGTATTTTTTAATAAAAAATTATAATTATTTAACACTGAAACTTTACAAAAATAGACGATCTCGACCTCGGTGATCATCCAATGGTTTGCACTGTCGGAGCTGTACGACTAGGTCGCGGGTTCGATTCCCAGAAGGACCAATTTGGGAGATAACTTTTATGAATTGATTCTGGTTGACTTTTGCTGATTAGTGCTCCACAGTGGAATCCGTTACTCGAGTACACAGGTAAATTCCCTGGTTTGAGACCAGGTTGGTGGGTGACTGGCAAATTATTATTCTGATCTATACTTATAGGGTCCCAGTAGTCTCACGCAACTGGCACGACCTGGTCTTCCGTTTGGCGGAGATCGGTGTCGCGATATGGTTCCCCTGCGTGCTCTGGAATTCCATGGCGCCGGAGCGGCTGTGGCTGCTGAACCCTCGCAGGCTTCTCGCGAGGCAGCTAGACGACTCCAAATTAGCGGACTTGCTTGCACATCATCCAGATCCCAGGGTAAGACATTATTATTATTATATCACAAAAAAAGCTGACCATTGTCAATTTTTATGACGGCCTTCGTGGTCGAGTGGCTTGCACACCGGTTTTCATAGTTTCGCCATCTCTGAGGTCCCGGGTTCGATCCGCAGCCGGGTCAGTATAGAAACTAACTTTTCTATATCGTCTCGGGTTTGGGTGTTTGTCGTACCGTCGTTTTTTCGGATTATTATAACACAAGTGCTTTAGCTAGTTACGTTGGGATCATAGCAACGTATGTGATGTTGTCTAATATTTATTTAATATTTATTTTTTATTTTAGTGATATTTTTTGTGCTTGATTTTTTGGTACACCATTTTATAAGTATGTATATCTTAAGTCTAAACAGGAGATTATCCACAAGGTAAGTAGGTATCTACTAGAATTCGATTGCAAAGTTAAGCTAAATTCTAACATAAATTATATATAATATTATGTGTAAGGATATACAGAGTGCTTTCTTTAAATGGGACAGAATGCGGAAATCCGAAACCATAGAAGATACAAGCAAGCTGTCTTTGGAACCTTTAAGTCTTTTTTGTGAATACAATTTTAGTATTGTCAATTTTTTGGTCAAGTGTGGGCGAAGTCAATTTTTTGGTCAAGCGTGAAGTGCGTTCATAAAAATGAATAAAATTGATCAAAATTTTTTAGGTCTAATCGACTTAGTTTCATGAAGGGATCATTTCATTGTATGGGACGAAAAAAATCGGGACAGCCTTAGTTCGTCAAATTTCATAAAATATTTGATTTGATTAATAATTGTTTTATTATTTGTTATTGAGACATGTAGTATATATATACAATAAGCTGAAAGCACTGATAACATAGTTTATTTGTTTATGTACACTACTTAATGCGTAGTTCGCTAATGTATTTATTATGTTATTTATTATTATTAATTGTGTTATCGATAATAATTTATTGTTGACACTCATATTTATCTGTTGCAGTATAGAACAAAAGCTTTTACCGCAGAGTTGTTTTAGAAATAAACATATATAAAATTATTGTATTAAAGTAAAGTAATTGCATATTATTCACAATTTTTTTTTTGTGATTTAAGTATCTATGGAATATGGATATCATAGACAATGTATTTTTTATCAGTGTGGTATAAAGTGTTTGTGTAATATAACTAATTCGGCAAATTTCGTCGTATGAACGAACTCCGAATTTTTTGTTTTTTATTGGGTTAAAAGTCTTCTGTGACTTATTTTGTATGTTTAAGGTCGTCTATTTCTTAAGCTTTAAATAGCAAAAAGGTTATGGGAATTTGCCTGTAATGTTATTCTCGAGAAGTTTTGTAAAATTTAATTACCTTCATAATAATTTTTTGCGCGCAGCCATTACGAAATAGGGTCAAGTAATTTTTTTTTGTCATACACTTTAAAAAGAACAAATCGTATTTTATACTACATTAAATTTTATTTATAATTTATTAAAAATTTCGTGTCTTGGGGTCTTATGCAAGACACTCGGACCATAGAGGCAGGTATTCTGTTGCTTTGGTATTGCTAGTATAGATTGTCAGATTTTCAATTAGAGTTCGTAAACTGGCGTTGAATGGGTCGCTAATTTTGATTAAATAATTTTATAAGTATCGACATCAATGACTCACTTTTAGTAAGTTATAAAGATATATTATATCTTAATAATATGTTTCTTAAAAATGTAGGTATTGATTACAATACAACTTACAAAAAATATATTGTAAACAATTTTTAAACAGTATTAATTTAAAAAAATACCAGTATATCTGCATTCTAATTACAACTATATCATTTATAAGTATATATACAGCATTCAGAAAACTATGAATTGTGTGATCTTGTAAACAAAATATTAAAAATAATAATAAATCAAGAATTTCACAATAGAAAAATTATAGAAGCATGCAGAGACTAAACCTAAATAAATTATCAAAAATCTTCGACGTTTCTTTTTTACTGATTCGGTTTCAGTGAGTAGTCAACTGACAACTAAACCAAGCAAATCACTGTACAATCAACATGTCAATATTATTTTTCGAAATGATGTTGCTGGCTGTCAGATTGCTATCTCTAATTAAAATCCGACTTAATAATTAGTTTCGCAAATTACATTTCGTCGAAGTGATTGAATCCGACCTGGATGAAAATTGAAAAAGAAAAACAAAAATGGTTAAAACTTTCGAGAACAACAAAAGAGCTCTGGGGCAATGCTTCGTCAATGTATCATGTTTTAATTCACTTCCATACAAAATTGTGTTACACTATATATTTATTTAATTGTGCGTCAGTCTTATATACTTTTCATTGGAACAAAAAATAAAACCCGAAATGTTTTATGCATTATTTAAATATTTATATGTATACGACTGCATCTATATCAACATAAAACGCAGTTTTTTTCTCATTACCCGTAATGTACAATATATTATGAGACCAATTAAAACGCATCCTTGAATATAAATCTTAGTAAGACAGTGAGTGATAGATGGCAAGTGTCATTCTAATGCATATAAGTTAAATAGCAATTGTAATTGACTCGGTCTGTACCTGTAACTCATTCGGTAGGAGCGATAGTCACGGTGAGGCAACAGACGCTGGTTCGACTCCAGTTCGAAGGAGTTTTTCTTTTTGTTTGATTGATCGTTTTCACAAAAAACATCAAATAGTTTAGGATACATTTGTTATTTTAAACTAACATTTAGTGAAATTACAGGCACTGAGACTATCAACTTATTTCTCAGGATAACTGGCGCAGTGACAGTCCCCCTCAGATCTTTGTTTTTTAAAGCTCTGAGTGGCACTGCAACTGTTATGGACAGGCGTGTCGCTTACCATAAGGCGCACGACCCGTCACATAAAAAGATTCAAATAAACTGAGTTCCTATCAAAAATTATACAAGATCAGTTTCGTAAGTTGCAGTTGGAAACCAAACTTTATATACAAAAATTTAAGTAGTTCAATTTTGTTGCCAAAATACCGATTGAATAGTCATGAAACCCATATCTTAAATTCATATCAATAACCGATTTATAGAAATAAATACAAAAGTGGATTAAAACAAATCTCGAGGTACCTATACCTTTATTTGATGTATTTAAGTGTGGGAAATAAATTATTGTTGTACTTTTTATATTTATTAAATATAACCAATAGAATATCAGAAAAAGTGCACTAAACTCCGTAGACATTTTTCACAATAAAGTATGAAGTGTGACACACAATAATATAATCTAAAAATCAACAACCACTTCTCAGAACCTGGTTCCGTTTCGCCAACTGACGATACGTCAAAAAACATGGTACATTGTCGATTTGATCCGAAGCTGGCAATGCCTTCTCTGGCGGTTTATGTACGCCGTTCTTCTCCGCCCTCTTGCTATAATGACGGAAAAATTAGAGAAGAGAAATGAAGTGAATACGGAGAAGAATGTCCCGGGGAAAGAGGATTCGGTAAGTCTCAATGTAGTCGGTTAAATTGAACTGGAATTTGTGTGGTTTTGTGATGTTATAAGTTTCGCTGTTTACTGTCTGTGTCTAGTAATCGAGCCCTCACAAGTAGAGCTCTGGAACATTAAATTAGCGCTGCCGCTGGCTAGAAATGTCACCTCCCAAAGTGAAGAAAAACTCGAAGATTAGTAAAAAATGAAGTAAATTAATTTGCTAATCCGCGAACCCATTGAAGGTTAATTCGTGCAAAATAGCGGCGCTTGTGTTGAATATTTTTTCATGCAGTTAATTTTCCCACTCTCCCTTCGCATAAAATTAATAACACAAGCGCAACTACAGTCACAAACACCACCACCAAAAATATACCTAGTACGTTTTTCGCCTCTCCACGAGGCATCCTTAGGGGCTGTTGACTGATCGACGCTCGGCTGAAGAATGAGCTCGTTCAGAACGGTTGGTATATTTATATCCCGCTACCCCCAGTGTTACTATTGTTGAAACCAGAAAATACTCGTAATAAAGGTGATGATGCAAAATTCAACTGTTCATTTATTATACAACCTTTGTTGTTGTACCTAATTATTTCCATCTGTTTTAAAACATCAAGTTTTAACCTTCCCGGAATAGCAAATTAATTTGCTTCCATTTTTATTAACAAGGATTTCCGCAAAGTAACGCCTGGCTCTATTAAACTCATAGATTTCTCACAGATGGTGCAACGGCAAAAAAGTCGTTAAAAACCAAAACATAGATATGCAATAAACACATGGAAGAATTCATGAGGTCCGTTGGTTCGTTCTGTGGCTTAGTTGGCATAGCGTCTGGCACGGTTTGCTGGGAGACGTTGGTTCGAATCCAGCCGGATCGAAGTGAATTTTTTTCCAAGTGTTCGATGTTTGTTTAATAATTATATCAAACTAGTGCAGTAATTTCACAAAAAAATAATTGAATATCGTGGTGGTGAAATATCCTGACATTCAATAAAAACTTAATTAAATTAGCGTTCTGAAATATTTCACTTTGATGTAGTTCTGATTGACGGTATTGCGTTTTCTCCAATTCATCTCTTGCGTCACCAGTTACAAAACCAATGTAACTTACAATTTTGACATTAATAAAAAAATATTTTACATTGTAATGACGGCCTCGGTGGCCCAAGGGTTTGTAGTGTGGTAAATTGGATGTGGAGGTCCCGGGTTCGATTCCCGGTAGGACCAATTTGAGAAATGAACTTTTCTAAATTGATTCTCGGCTTGTCCAGCGTGTTCGGCAGTTGTGTTCTGGCAAGTGCCCCAGATTGTATTCCGTTGCTCTGGTACTGGCATTTCTTTTATGATAACAAGTGACGGGACGAACAAGTCGAGCGCCTGGTGGTAAGTGACACGATGTGTATTCAGAGCTATAGATCGCAAAGATTTGAGGGGTATTTGTACTGCGCCTGTCATTGTGGTTATTTGGCACGTTATTATTATTTATAATTTTATGCTTCATACAGTGAATGTTAATCGTAATTTGCGTCAATGTATTCGACTTACGTTCTTTAGTTTTAGTGATGCCTACGACATCGTCATTATGTAGTTCATCCATTGTGAAATTCAATCCCACGCGCGATTTAGAGAGGTGACATGTCAATCAACAATGTCGACGAATAGTTTCAACCTTAATGACAACAACTGCAATGTAGAGCCGAAGAGATGTATGTAAATAATCAATAGTAATTTTAGTTGTTTTCGTTATTTTGAAATTTATTATAATTAAGAGCACTCTTAATTTTTACTAACTTAGCTCATAAGACTCTATAGTTACTAACAAATTATGATAATAAATAAATTTTAAGACGTCTCCTCTTGTCGTCGCTTTCGATGGATAATAAAAAGAACTTGAATTATGAAAAATAATTACTTTTTTTGTAATTGTATACATTGTAGACTAAATGATTTCAGAAATTAATAATGAAAATTTGTATTTACAGAATGTAGAAACCGTCTCACTAGTCGGCAGTGTCGGGTCAGGGCGCGACTGCTGGATCTGCTACGACAGCTCGCGGCCGGAGCCCTTAATCCGCCCCTGCCGCTGCACTGGCGACGTGTCCGCTGTGCACCACGATTGCCTGCGACGCTGGCTTGTCGAGGTACTTACAGTTGGGACTGAATAGAATAGAATTAGAACTTCTATCCTTTTCTTACTTGTTCATTACGAAAGAGACAGGGGCTGAACCGTTTAAGCATAGTAGAATAGGTAAGTAGTACAGTATAATAAGATCAAGTATTGTAACTCCATACAAACGTTGCAGCATGGCTTGTATACGTACGCGCCCGCCGCGCACCGTCTAAGGACGCACACATTTGCATAATATAGCAATGTACCGTAGCATAACACTTGTCGTTCCGACGGTGCAACCGTAGCGGTGGCAACCGCTAGTTGTGCAATGCGCAACGGGAAGTGGGCGTGCCTACAGCTCCGGTACTTATCTGGAAAACAGGGAGGGTACTGTACGTTCCCCCGAAACACTCACCCGAGGCACTAGCCTCTCGAAGAACCGGATGAAGTCAAGTGGCAGAGGTCTGTGACAACCCTGTACACTGGCTGATCTGGGGTCAGAACCTGAACTTGTAAGGTTCCTGTGCGCGCACAGGTTATAGTGCCCTTCTCGTATACCCTAAGGGTCGGTAGGGAGGGTCACTATAATCAAAACTAATGTAGAAAGATGTGGGAGAAGGGCTGTGGTTGTCCATACGCGCCTTTCATTATTATACAAGCCGCGCTGTTATTTGTACGGAGTTACCCTACTTGTTTTATCCATTGATGCGAATCGAAAAAATCAAAAATTAAAAAATATCACATACAATAAAACAAAGAAAATGTTAAATATGTTTATGTCTCAGCTATAGTGGAATTTGAAATTCAATAGCTCTGGCGTTATTTGATCATAGTCAATAATAGTTATATATACACTAAAATTAACAAACCTTTGAGCAAAAAAGACAATACAAATTGTAAAATATTCCATAATAACACAGCACATAAGGCACAAATTATAATAAATCTTCATCTGGATGTTGTTTGCCAAATAGATATTGTCATTTAAATATCCACATCTATTAAGACATGAATCTACGCTATTACCTACATAAAAAAATCCTTGGATTCCTTTGAATATGGAGCTGCAATTATACCGATTGTTACCTTTTTACATTAATTTTCAATTTGACGTATTGCATATCTAACGAATTGGAATTGTTTTACCTATCTATAAACGTTATAAGTAAACTTTTATTATAATTATTAATACAAAGAACACTAGACACAGAAAAATTCATTCGCAGTGTCTTCAGTTCACCAGGCCGACTCTCTCCCAACTAAGCTACGGAACTAACCAGTAGATCTTAAGAATTTTTCTATGTGCTTGTTACAGACAGATCTTTGTTTTTGGCTTTTTAAGGACTTTTTGCCGTAGCGCCATCTTTAAGAAATCTATGTTAGTGTTTTTCCTCACTCAGCCAGGTACCTTTACAGCTACCAGCGGCTGACTAGGGATGTCGCTTTAATAATTGTAATGTGAACTTTTTGTCAATAAAAACGAATTTTTACTACCATGATATTTATACTCCGTCCAACATTTATTTAATTTTTGACATATGCGTGCCTCAGAAGTTCCGTATTTTTTTACATAGACAAAAAAATGCAATACTTTCTGGACTCTTTTATTTTTTTTAATTTTAGTGAAGCGACGTGCTGTTTAGCTCCGATATTTATCAAGCCAACTGATTATGTAACGAAGATTGTTCAAGTTGATTTTGGTACCTGTCTAATGAATTATAATGAATAAAATAAATTAAATAATATAAATAATTACAATAAATTCTTATTGTTTATACATACAATGAATCGTCGGATTCTTCTCCGTAAGACAGGGAATTATCACTTGATTAATTCTTGAGTACACAAATTGTCAAACGCCGCACCACGATACCAGTCAGACAATATATTCTTTTTTGAACCAGCTCACATTCACGATTAACACTTCTTCATAAATAAAATCGATTGTTATAAAAAATCGAATCTGAAACGCACTAGGACGTCACTAATTGATTAGAAATTCGAGCTGTCAAAAGTTAAATAAATGGTTGAACGGAGTATACGAGACATTTCACAAAAAAAAAAGAATATTATGGTAGTAAAACATGATAATCAATAAAAACTTAATGTAAACATTTCCTATGTCCTGTGGGACTTGTAATGGGCCAGAAACGTCGGTTTGTTTGAAAAAACAAATATACGCGATTTAAATCCGGAAAAGTAGTTTCATTTCCTATGAGTAACAATCGCTAAAGCCTAAGAACTCGATATAAACATTTATTGTTTTTATTTTTACAGAGCGCGGCTACTCCTGACGGTCTTAAATGCAAGGTGTGCAACACCCCTTACATTGTCCAGGAAACTAACAGGTCAGTTTGAAATCACTTCTACATTATCCAACTGTGTAACATCGTGCCTCGAAAAACTTCTAACCCCTGACACACAGGTTACCACCTGGTTGAGAGGTTAATGTGTCGCCACCAACTTAGACACTGTTGTACAGACAGCAGCATATCAAGCTACACATCGACGGATCTTGTTCCGTTGCACTAGGCGATATTCGAACAAGAGTGTATAACTCGATGTGTTGTTGACTGTACAAAACCTGTTTAGCTGTAATTCATGTCATGTAACGTGTTTCTGTTATTTAAGTACAATAAATTATTATTATTACTCAAGTAATTGTTGTGCCTTCTTGTAAAAGGCATCTGTACCATTCTTTAAGAACTATATCCCTAACCTCCTTCATCGTCATCTCATCTTTTTATCACCGTCTTTACTGGTTCCTGGTTACTTCTTTTTAAAATTTGAAATCTTTCTGAAATGACTTCGTTATTCTTACGTTGGTTTTATTCATTGTCACTCCCATCAAAACATTTTATATTGAATAGAATCACCGCGGCTAGAAAAGTACCGTCCATGAAAGGGTTAACCTTTATTTGAATTTCGTGCTTAACTGTTTATAGAATAAATTATACTACAGAGATCTTGATAACATGGCCCGAAACTTAAACAAGACATTTTGATTTCCTAATTAAGTAATTTCACCAGCACCCTTACTCACATTACTGCTTGGCGGAAGAAATAGGTAAGATAGCAATACTTTCCCGGACGAACTCTTGCACAAGCTCTACTGCTACTATTGTAGAACGAATTTCATTAAAATCCCACATAGTAGCCAAATATAATTTGAATGTTTCGCAGACTGGACTGGGAGCGCGGCTTCACGTGCGTGCACTGGGTGCGCACCGCGTGCGCCGTGGCCGTGATGGTGGGCGCAGGCGCATGCGCGTGGGTGTGCGTGCAGCTCTTCACCTCGCCCGTGGTGCGCGTGCTCGCCGCCGGCGCCGCGCTGCTCGTCTGCTACGTCGCAGTCAGGTCCGTTGCAATCACTGTTAGTGAATTCGTCAGATAACATAGCTTGTTCGCAGTGGCCACGGAAGAAAAAAGTGTGGAAGTGCCTTAAGCCTCGATTACTATCAGGAACGATGTCGCCAAACTCACACATTCATAATTTTAAACACTATGAAACCTTGATAGCGAGTCTCATCGCGCTATAGCCGTCACAATGTAATAGGCCCATTTTGACAGCTAAGGAAAACGATAGTGTGTAACTTTGAATGCATTCAATGAAATGGTAAACAAACAAATAAATTTTATTGAATACCAGGATATTCAAATATTTTTTGTGAAATTACTCCACTAGCTTGTTGTTATCATTAAACCAAGATTCAAAACTTAGAAAAAATTAACTTCGATCCGGCTGGATTCGAACCAACGTCTCCTAGCAAACCATGCCCGATGCCATGCCAATTAAGCCACGAAACAAACGATTTATTTTTCCCAATAATGTACCGATAATGGTAATTATAGGAATTCTCTTTTCTATAAGTACCAGAGTAACGAAATTAACTCCAGTGCATTAACCAGAACACCCAGATCACGAAAGGTTGTTCCCGCAATTGACCCTACCGGGAATTGAATTCGGAACCTCTTTATCTAGCACCCGCCGTTCTAATCGCTGGGTCACCGAGGTTGTCAAAAATACTTAATATATAAGAGATAATAACGTCATACATTCGTCCACAGATTCTTAGGCATGAACACAGTGTCAGCGTACCAGCGTGCCAAAGTCTCATCCCTCCGTATCCTCACGGAGCCTCTCCCAGAGAACCAGCAGGACCCTGAGGGTCAGCTGTCCACTATCAGCAAGACTGTCACCGTCGAAATAGCATCCAAAGCTGTTCTCGAACGGGCGTTAAAAGGAGAACCGAAATAAAAAACGCCGCAACAGGTTTGCGATAATGTTAAAACGATTGTCGAAGTTAAAAGCGTTTTAAAGTTGTGTAAAAGAATTTCGAGTAACGTGATTATTAACTGGATAACGTTACAAAGTTTTGTCAGTTGTGCATGGACAGAAAGTCATAGAAGGGATTGGTTGCAATAACAAGTTAAAAATAACTTTAAGAAAAGACTGTACCTGACATAGAATTCGTGATTGAGGTCAACATGAGACGCTAAATTTGAATGTGCTAGTAAAGTCTTCAATAACGGGTTCAAAAATAACGTTATGGGAATTAACGTTAAAAAAATGTAAATAACGTATTATGGACAAAGTTCAGTGTATAAAGTGAAATTATTATATTTAATAATTGTTTCAATTTTGTCAGTACAAAGAAGACGGTGATGCTTCAGTGATAATTACGCAATAAATATTATTTTTAAATTTTTAATAGTGATTACTATTTGTTTCTAAAAATGATGTTTTTTAAAATGGACACTTATTTTTTATAATATGTTAATAAAGACATCAAGGGAATGATTACGCGCTAAATCAGACCCGTGGCTAGGTGTGCGTATTGAGCTGTATGTACAAAATTGTATATCATCTAAACCTGTGCGACTGCTTAGATGCTAGATGCTAGATTTATAAAAAAGTCATGGCCGAATAGAAATTTAAACTATTTTTTCGGATTCAAATCGCGTATGTATGTATTTTTCGAACAAACCTACGTTTGGGGCCCTTTATAGATCCCATTGTCACGTTGACCTGTAAAGGGCTCCGAAAAGGTTTGTTTGAAAAAACAAATACACATATCGAAAAAATAGTTTCATTTCATGACTGAATATTGAAATCCATATAATTATATAATTTTGTGGTGAAATAGTTAATAACGCCACGCTCATATTCGCTATCCAAGCTAAGTATCTCTACTCGCATGCCTTACGAGGCCAGATGTTTTTAAATAGTGCTAGAAATTTCTCCAATATTCAACAGACAGAACCTGTCTTTGTGAGAATGAACTACGTCAAAAATATCAAATGAACCGAGTCTCACTTTACATAGTTGCGGAATGGAAGGGAATTGAAATTTTACAACGAAAGTGTACGTAGCATAAATAACACTATGTCATGCCATATATGCCTTAGCGAAAAAAAAAGTCTTGGTCCACATAAATTTAATTTACGAGCAGAAATGAAAAGGTCCAAAGGGGCCAAAGGGCCAAAATACGTACATATAATGATTTAGAAACAGTAAATCACGTGAAGTTTGAGTTCACATGAGGATGATCTATGAGCACGTCCTCACGTTTAAAGAATTTTGATGGGAATGATGACGGAATGAGCCAATGTTAGAATAGTGGAAGGAAAAGGAATTCGTGAACGATTCAAAATTTTAAAATTAAGCGGCCAGGAACTGGTAAAGAGGCTGATAAAAAGGTGGAATGACTATGAAGGAGGTCAGCATAGTATCAAAGAGAATACTCCTGAAGACCGGTTTTTTGGCTCGTACCCAGTGATGTACGTTAAAAATTTACTTCCATTCCCTTCCACAGTAACGTAAATTGAACTTATTGTCGTTGATAGTAACATTGCAAGGACGCTGGCGTCACAATTCATCTATATCGTATATATGTATGTATACTATGATAATAAATTCTCTGTCATAACTTTTTTAAAGATCTGCACAACAGTTACGTAACAAAAAAATTATTGTAAATTGTAGTTAATTCCACATATCGAGTACATTATTTAGTATCTGAGAAGTGTGTAAACAAATAATTATATTTTTTATTAATATCAACTAAAAATGTGAGGTGGAGCAACACACAAAAGCCTATTAAATGGGATTGCAAATCAAGAGGTGTTAATTTCGCTTCATATTCGAAAAAAATAATTTAAATGTAAATTTTGATTGCCTAAGTCGCGTTTGAATGAATAAATCAAGGGCCCCATCGAATAAACGTGTATAAAACAGTAAAAACTAAAAAGTTGGCTCCCGATTTATTTATTTGGAAAACAAATTAAAAGCGATGAAATTACATTCACCTGTTATATTTTTGTCGCAAATGAAATTTGAATTTTTTTGTTAGAGGTGTTATTTTATTTGTACGAAATTTATAAAAAAAACATAAGTATGTTTTTTCTTAGAACAAAATATTCGAGTTACTGAAAAGATAATAGAAAAAACTAAAAACTTTTCACATTTTTTTGGAAAGGAAATCGAAATGTCTTGTTTTAGTTTCTGGCCATGTTATCAAGATCTCTCTAGTTAAATTTATTCGTTCTATAACAGTTAACCACGAAATTCAAATAAAGGTTAACCCTTTCATGGATAGCACTTTACTTGGCGCGGTGGTTATATTCAATATAAAATGTTCAATGTATGTAAATCATTAAATTTTGTCAGTACATTGTTGATACTTATCTATGGAAAAGCAGTAGGCGGCAACTATACAGAAAACGCTTGGAAATCGTATTGTAGAGTCCGTAGTTGGTTTTTTGAGATCCATACAGCGAAACGGGGTTCACGGGTACCCGATATCATATTGTAATATTTTAAATTACAGGCACATGGGACTTGTCAACTTATGAACCCACGAACGACTGATTCTCTCGTCACTTGGTATTATAAAAAAAAAAGTAATTTTACGGTAAACGCTGTTACTGTCCATGAAAGGGTTAATATTTTTTAAATTACTGTAAGCATGGTTTTTCTGAGGCACTGAGTTTTTTTCTTATTCAGTCGCCTTGCATGTGATGTGTTGCACCTTACATTTTTTTTCTAATTAAAGATGTATTTACATAATTTTCTTATAAAACTTTTGACTCGAAACTACCAAAATGTATCTTATTATAGCTTTAAAATGTTATTTGTATTAAATTTTGTACATTAGTTTTGTATATTATTATTATGTATTATATATTGTGCTTAAAAAATATATTCTCTTGTTCCGCCGTGTCATGTTCGACTGCTTAGCACAGATAATAAGTAATTTATGTAAAACTGTTAATAACGTAAAAAAAATATTTTTAATGCAATCGACCTCAAAAGTTTGTAGAATTACATTTATTTGCCAAGTTTTAATGAAATCCGCTAATGGAAAGTAAGTGACATCCAATAAACCGCATTTAACCCCTAATTTGCCACCTTTAGAGGTGGAATATATTCTTCAACCCCCCCCCCCCCCCCCCCCCCTTTACCAGTACCCCCTTTCGAACCAAAAAAAAAATCATTGAAATTGATTCACAAATGTCTGAGTAATCGTGACATACATACGAAAAGAACAAAGTACAGTAGAATTGAGAACCTCCTCCTTTATTTGAAAACAAATTCATGGATGAAGTCTTTGCCCTTCAGTAGAACATGTCGACTCATCCGAAGAACAAAGTCCGATGTCATTATATAGCGAAAAGAGAATAAGTACGTTACGAGAATAATTTCCTTATTCAAACTAAGGCTTATGTAAAGGTGTTTTGAGAATTAAATTTTATTAATAAAAATTTTTAATTTAAAAATAAAATCGAACAATGGTCGATGTGACATCCACAGTGAATATGAACGGACGAAGTGTACTATGTCCTGGCAACAAGTTTGCACATAGATCTTTGTTCTACGGATGAGTCGATGTTTACGTTGATACAGTACAGATTGACCAACTTGTCAATGGGAATAAATGGAACAAATGCGGCTATGCTGAAATACGTTAAATAAACTTATCTTTCCACCATCGCCCATCCCGCCAAAGGGTTAGCTCATAGGTTCCCAAACTTTTTGGCTGACAGCCAACTTAGGTAAGGTGAAAAAATTTCAACGCCCACTACCACAAAAAAATATTTGAAAACACGTGTTTTCTATACTAATACAAAAAATCTGAATGAAAAAAATATATCGAGTTCTTAGGTTTTCGGGATTGTTACGCATAGGAAATGAAACTATTTTTCCGGATTTAAATTGCGTATATTTTGACTCATCCGAAGAACAGAGTCCGATGTGGTTTTATAGCGAAAAGAGGATAAGTACGTTACGAGAATAATTTCGTTATTCAAACTAAGGCCTACGTAATGGTATTTTGAGAATTTTACAGTCGATCTGACATCCACAGCGAAGAAAAACGAACGAAATATACTATGTCCTGAGAAACAGTAATCTTGCACATAGACCTTTGTTCTACGGATGAGTCGATTTGTTTTTTCAAACAGACCAACGTTTCGGGCCCTTTACAGGTCCCATAGTCACGGTTGACTGAGGTATTTGAGGGGAAAAAATTATATACAATTATATAGTGTAGTTGACATAGTTGACATCAAATACGGTAGCATCCCCTTCCCCCTAAGACTCTACAGCGCCCACTTGGGAAACTATGGGTTAACCCATCTCCACATATTTGATTCTTGATGCATTCGAACCTGCAGGATGTCGAATGGTCACCCTCCTGAAAAGGAAATCTTCGTGCTAACACATGGGGTTCTTCAAAAAGCGTCAACAGGGCTCTCAAAGTCTGGCATCGCATAGGCAGCTCCTCTGAAGTTGCAGATGTTCATGGTCGACGATGACCACTTCCCACCACGTGGCTCGTCTGCTCGTTTGCCTTCTACTTTATACTGGGTAAGCCACAGCTATGCAACACAAAAAGTACTATAAATATTGTAGATAGCATATTAATAAAAGTAAGTAATACTGCTTTCAAATATTAAAAAAAATGCTTTTCTTCATCTGGGAATCGAAGTATCAAAATGTGAAAAAAAATCTAAGGATTTATTTCTACTAAGTAACATAGTATCTTAAAGGAATGCGTGCCTTATTTCAGCGTGGTCGAGTTTAGAAAATTTGACTAGCCAGAAAGAAAGTCGCTATTTAGTCGGTTCTAGTCGCAAAAAACTAGATTAAGTCGGTCCGCCGTTCAAAAGTTATAAGGGTCCACGCTGGAAGAAGCTTATTCCAGCGCCACCATTTCTCAATCTCATGAACCACATCACCTAGCTAAGATCTGATTACACTAAAAAAAGTCGTGATTTAATCGGTTCTAGTCGTAAAAAACTAGATTTAGTCTTTAGGCCGTTTTGAGGTTATTAAGGTGTTTTACTGTCCTATACTTATAACATCATAAAATTTTACGTTTGAGTTTGAAGAAAATGAATAATAATGCGTTTTATTGTTATACAATATTGAAAGTACTGTCCCTCCGTGTCGTAGAGCTGTGGGACACCCTGTATTTAAACAAAAAACTATAAAGGATATAGACGAACGCTTGGCTACACAATCTCATTCGCATATATGTTTAAAAAGTCCCTATTCACTTCAAGCCCTAAATTGTAACTAAATTGTAAAACTTTCGACCAACACAGACAGCCAGTAGTGTATTTTTCCTTTTGCTTTGCCGTAGCATCTGCCTTCTTCATCACAACTAATGTTAT